GAAGCGTTATACCATTTTGTCTAGGCTTGCTATTGGAAAACTTGGGTTGCAATGCTCAATTCTTTTCCGAAGAACCTTGCTATTGCTCCTTGAGTAGCTTGGTGTTGGATTAGTTTTGAATTTGGTCGGAAAGAGAGTGGCATGAGCTTGTCTGTGTTGTGAACAAAAGTTAGTGGTGTTAGGTGTTGTAAATCTCTATCGGTGGAGTGTGGCATTTATGTTGCATTTTGTCGAGTTAAGTTGACACTTGATACTCACATAAACCTTTGAAGTAATGACATGGGTGTTGCTCATGGTGTTGCTCAATTGATGATCAAATCATTGTGATACTTATATCATATCCATGTGATAGTGAGCAATGTGTTTACGAAGTTGCTTGGTTACGATAATCAACCCCAAAGTGGTTGATGGTGATGCTAGTCTACTTGCACGAAGTAGCATTGTAGTAGCTTTGACTGAATTCTCAATAGTGATTCATTATGCTAAGCTTAAGTTGATTCTTTGTTTCCTTGAGTTTGCTCATTGAGGTGTTGGAAAGGGTTGTAGCATTCCTTTGCTATAGCTCATTAGTTGATCCGTTAACACTTGAAGTAGATTGTTGGATAGAGAAGGTGTGAGGTTGAGGCATTGACATTACTAGCATTTGTGTTAGTGGAAGTGGCATTGTTATTTTAAGTGATGAGGAAGTTTCCTTAGAGCTTGATTTTCCATGTCATTTTTCTTGTTAGTGTTTTAGTTTCACATTGGATCTTGAAAGTGGTTGAAGAAGAGTGTTAGTGCAATATGGATATCCGAAGATGTGGTCTTCGTGATCAAGCCTTGGATGTTCCATTTGCATTTTACGGATGTTGGTGTTGGATGTCGAAAGAATGGGCAAAAAGATGTTCGAGGCTTAAGCATACTATGGGTCATAAGAATTTGTGTTGAGGTGAACCTATGTGAAGTTGTTAGTAGGAGGAAATTGGTTGAGTCTTGAAAGTTTGCATTTCTAGACTGAGAGTCATTCTTTCTCTAGAATGGAAAGATTTTCCACAAATTTTCTTAGACTTTTCCAATGGCTGATCTGTTATCACTTTATCCGAAAACCATTCCATTTTCGTAAGCCAGTACAAACTAGTGAAAGGGTTGGAGTTGACTTCAGTTGGCTTAGACCTTAGTAGGTAGTTTGTATGATGCAGCCCGAGAGGGATGCTAACTTTTGGGGCTAAAGCAATTGAGTTGGATAGAGTCTGGAGTTAGTATAGAAAAGTGGCCGTTGCACTTTTCTAGAAAGGTGACCTTTGTGCCTTTCTTTTGTAGCGTTATGCGTGGTGGCATGTTGCACTTTGCATTTCGTTAGACTCTATGAGAGTAGTGAGCTCTCACTGATCTTGACTTGGTCTTGGTGGCCCTGCGCCTTAGCTGAGGATGGTGATGTTCAACTTAGTTGTTTGAGTTTGAGATGTTGGTACCCGTACTATAGCTTTGTTTATGAGGAGGTTGTGTACCAATATGGATCCATCTCATGGTCTTCACTTTAGTTTTGACTAAGTGTTGATTATGCATAGCTAGCCTCTTCAAAGCATGCTTAGAGCTGTTGGCTAAACGTGTTTGTGAGCTTATCGCGATTGCGTTGGATTCGAGTGGTCATTTGGTTTGTGCTTGTCTATGAACTTTATCTCAGTCTGGGATATTATGTTCATGTTGGTCAAGTATATGACTTGATGACAAGAGTTTAGCGTTTAGGTCTTGTGAAGGTGAGTTGAAAGGTGATTGTTGGTTGCTTTGCGACTAGTGATCGCTTATAGACTTTGTTAAGGACTGTTAACACTTGCTTCACTCGATGATGATTTAGCAGTGATGGGTTTGCTTTACCTGATGGTGTTGCGGAGGATCGTGTCATTAGTCTTACATGGGTTTTCCATGTTGGCATGTCGACTCTACCTCTGTCGATATCATTTGGTTGCGTTTAGTTCGTAGTGTTGGATTTCATTGAGTCTTGGGTGTGGTGATTCACTCCTTGATGAGGTGTTATCTGTAACTGAGTTTTGCTGATGATTTTGTCTCGGATATTGGGTAAAGTATCTTCGACTTTGGTTAGCTTGGTTGCAAGAGAGTTTTGAGTGGTGATTCACTCTTGCTTTCTTTTAGCTTTGTTCTGATGTTGATGGCATTGAGGTGATGCCTTGTCGTTGACATTGTTATTGTTGAGATTCAAGTGAAATAAGATGTCTATCCTAAAGATTGACATTGAGTTTCATTAGTCTTGATGAAAATAGTGTTAATGATTTGGCTATGGCTTTGTGTTATTGGCATTCATGCATTTGCTAGATAGCAACTATGTTGACGTTCAAACGAGCTGAATGGCAGGTTTGAGTTAGTTGCGTTCTAGACGAGATTATTTAGTAGGGGTTGAGCTTTGGCTTTTCCTTGAAAAGTGATTTAGTCGTGGATTGTGCTAGCTCTACGAGCAGAAGAGTTAGTGATCAATATTGGAATGTTTGAATCCTTGTTGGATTGAATTGAAATATATCGATCATTGATGATTCTTCTTGTGCTTGTTATGAAGTGAGTTACGTTTTGCTATAGATGGATTCATGGAGGATCGTTTAGTGATCACTTGTCGGGCATTGCTTCGTTATGCTTAGCTTTTGGATTGATGCAGACATGCTCTTCATTAGCTTTGCATTATGGAGTTTAGCTTATGGATGTGTTGAAGAAAATGTTGTGGGTTGCACCATAATTTCTTCTTTAGCATTGAAGTTAGTTCATGTGAGACTTGTGATCATTGTTAGGAAAGACTTGGCTATAGACTTCTTCGAGCTTTTGGTTCTTTGAGTTTTATGCTCGTTGTTCCATTGGTTAGAAGTTGTTGGGGAAGACATTTTGGCTTATTAGCTTCAATGTTGAAGTTGGCTTTTGCATCTAGCAATCATTGGTGATGATTGACTATCATCTAAGATAGTTGATTATCCTTGTCAAGGGTTTTGCTTGATTATTGTTGGTATAGACTGAGTTGCCGTTCTTCAGAATGGTAGATTCTTTCTTCAACGATGATTATGCATTTCTTTATTGATGGGATGATTGATGATCTTTCATGGTGGTTAGTTATTCTCTTTGATGGCTTGTGGCTTTTCGCAATATCACATGTTCTTTGTGATTTACTCTGGATTGGTCTCTTGGGTTTGAGACATCAATAAGATGTTGTTGACACTTGTTTAGGCAACTTGAGTTCCTTGGTATTGTTGGCTGGGATCTATTCAGATTGGCTTTTGTAATAATTGACAGAACTGAGTGTTTGTTGGTCTTACCGCATTCATTCTCTTTTGTTGATTGTTGCTCGAGTTAGTTCTGATAGATTTGGGATGTTATTTCCTTTAGGTGATACATTCACGAGCATTTTGCTTGCTAGTCGATGATACTTTGTGTTCTTTAAGTTATCTTTGGTAAGTTGTTCGGCATACTATCTGCCATCTTCAGTAGTTAAGTTTCATCATTGAGTTTCCTTGATGATATACTTGCTATTGAATTTTGTTGCATGGCCAAACGTGATGATCTTGGTGGTTCCTATACTATACTATTAGTTTATCGGATGATAACTTACTTGGAATACTTTTGTGTTCTAATCTAAGATATACTCATTGATAATTAAATCTCTAAGATATCATTGTCTATGACTTTGATATTGTCCATCTATTAATCTTTGATTTTGGGCCCCGAGAGATCAAATAGTTGATGCTCTCAATCCAAGTGTGGGTGGCACTACCTACTTGGATACCAGGCGTGGCTCAACAGAACCTTGCTCTAAGCCCATGGCTAGAGCACCCAAATGCGGAAGGCAGGGAGAGTACCTTTAAGGCCCGCGTAGGGTCACAGTGTTTTGAAATGTTGTCCCAAAGTCCCAATCTGTGGAAAGGAAGAGGAGTAACCCTCTTGTGTGGTGACCAAGGACACAGTCACACAGTGAGGAAATCCTAGAGGACCATGAGACTTAGCAGTCAGGCCTGTGGGCCTTGATACAGTGGCAGTGTTGGCGAATATGACCATGGAAAGAAAGGGACTTGGTGTGGACTGGAAAGGAGGTATTGGGGAAGGCTATTCCCCATATCTGTGGGCATCCTAAGGATGGTAAGGAGTGGATCTGAGATGACCACTTATGGACAGATGGCCCAGTCTTGAAGATATAGGATTGCAATGCCGGTGGTGTTAGACCATTGATGTGACCAAGGTGAATGGGCATGGCTTAGCTTAATGGGCTGATATGTTGGTGGTACCTTAGGGTGTTCATCATGAGATCGGACACGTGGAGCACTTGGACCAAGTGCAAAGGTTAAGTGGCATGGATGCCTTTCTCAGGGCAAGCAGGCCCCAAGTCCTGAATTGGACTTATGGAGGGTGTGAATAAAACTCCTCCAAGTGGTTGAAGGTATAGTTAAGTGACTAAAGTAGAATGGAAAAATTAATTGCTTACAGCTCAATTCTTTTCTAGAAAACCTTGTTATTACTCCTTTTAAGTTATGGGATTCTTGATGAACATTGTGATTTGATATGTATAAGTGGTTCTTTGTTCAATGGAAAGGATTACAAATTTGGCATAATATTCAATAAGCTAATCCTCCAAAACTTGTATATATACAACAATTAAAGTCACAAATCCATTAATACCTTTTTTTGATATTCCTATTAGCCCATCAACAAAAGAAATTAACTACCTTGTATCCTTCTAAGAAGAGGCAATGATGTAAAGTCCATATATATGGCTATGAGCATATTGATATTTTAATAGTTTTAATTTAGATTATTCTCTCTTATATAAAAGCTAGGGTTTTTAAGTTAATTGAATGTGCACATTTCTATATTCCATGTATTTATAATTTAAATTTATAATTCTTTATTTATTTTTTAATTAAAATAAAATTGTAATTTAGAAAAATTAATTTCCTAGCCACTAGCACTAGCCCTAGGAACTCTAACTCCAGTGAGCTAGGGTCATCCTCTCAACTTGATTGAAGCACCATTACTAAATATTAAATAATATTTATTATTGTCTTAATAATACTTTAGAAAAAATTAACAACATGAAAAATCAAATATTGCTTTTTCAATAGTAAATTATTTTAATATTTTTAGCTATAAATGAATTTTTTTAAAGAAATCTTATTTAAATCTTACTCATATTAGCGCATTTTACAACACCTCGATGCCAGTCCGTCCAACTTGCGATGGCTACTTGTTTCTTTCAGATTTGTCCTGATCGGTTTCACAGTTAAAAGCGATTCTGCAGTGCTTAAAGATTACCTTTGCTCTTGGGAGCAAATTTGGACGGGCACACTGAAAATGCAAGCCGCCGCGCGGCAAATGCGAGAGTGAAACGCTCCTCTTCTGTGAGCAATCTCTCAATCACTTTAACCGTTATGAGGTCCTTGAAAAAGAAACATGTAAGAAAAACTTGAAAGAAGGAATGGACAAAGCACCTGTGGCATTGGCGAATGGATCACACCCTCGGGTGTCGTTGACGCTCGACCACCAACAAACAAGACGTTGTTTACGTTTCCCCATCTGTCCATCTCAGTTGGGAGACTGTTGGAGTGCCTCCACTGTCCGCCAACGATGAACTTGTATTGATACCTGCGAAGTTTTGATGATCGATCATGGTTCTATATGAGATTCCGAGATCCATGACACATACTTCCCCTGTGGGACTCGAAGATCAACAATATACTTTGGCCCACTCGCGTGCGTAGCCTTTATAGGCTCGTTCCATCCGCCACCTTTAAAATCCCCCACGATCAAAACCTCTTCCCCCTGGGCTTCAAAAGATTACGTTTCACTCAATGGCTGAATGGTGGCTATACGTACCTCTTTGCAACCATGGTTCCACACAAACTGAACAGCGTGAGTAGGAGGTCCATCGTGGTTTCGTTTCTCCACCATGGCGATCAAATCCCAGGTGGCCCATACCAATGCTGGCCTGTAGCAACGAGCAAAGAAAGCATGAGTTTTAACGCCATCAGGCTTGAGAGACTCACCTGTCTGGACCACAGAGATGAAGGTTCGTGACGAAATCGACGGCACTCTGAAGCGGAACGTCTTGTATCCAATGCAAATAGGCAATGACACAAGCGGGAGCTCTATCCATGCCGCTCGTGCATGTAACGTATACGTGATGTCCGGCTCTCAAAAGCCGGTACAGAATTCCCACTGCGAGTGGGAGCTTTCTTCTCAGGTCGACGGTGTCGACGTCTCTGAAACGAAGGAAAACGGATAACTTTGCTCCGACACACTAGAAAGTAAAGTGCGTGCCTGATTGGACAATGTGCCAGGACCATTCCGTTTGCTTGAGCAGCTTCTGTAATAGAGCTCTTGTCAATGCCCCAGTTGAGTTGCTCGCTCTCGGATTGTAAGTTGAGAATTGCAGTGATACCCTGTGCAAGACAAAAGCAAGTTAACCAAGACCTGGAGATTGTCAAAGCTTGAAGCATACCATTTGTTTGAGCTGTTGCATTTCTGCTCCATTTTGTAAACAAGATCCCACGACGATGTGCTCTGTCATCTGGAAACAAATAACGTTCGGAAAAAAATGAAAGACAATAAAGTAGAAACGCCATACCTTCGTGTAGCGAAGACCAAAACGATGGCTGTAAGTCAAGTCCTTTGAAGCTCTCAGCTGAGCGCTTGTAAACTCCTGAAGTTGAAAGTTGCCGTGCGACCACTCCACTTGTCCGTCCAGGTCTTCGTCCGTGCTGTACCTAGCTATGACCTCAAACGACGCTTCCAAGTTGTGCCATATATCTAGCTCGGCTCTCTCGGACCGTTCATTCTCGTCGTCATCGTCATCTTCATCGTCGACACCCGTAAAGAAGATCGCGAGCTGCCTGATCCCTTTGGGAAGCAAGAACCTCCAAGCGTATGTAA